TCCATTTGCTATTTACAGTGGATGTAATGCTACCATGGCCTTAGGTTAAAGAGAATAGGACATTCTCATATCTTAGTCAGCATTCTTCTCTCAGCCAAAAGACAGTTAACTGGTCAGTTATCAAATTAGCACTTTTGTCTGACCTTGTGTATGAATTAATTGCCATGTAATAAAAATTGCTACTTATCAAAGTATTCAATTAGATGTTACATGCTTCGAAATGTCTGAGGGATTATAAGATACTGTATAATTTATTATAAGCCCTTCCTTTGTATGAGGAGTTACAATCAATTTTGTATCATTGAACAAATTTAAATATTTTGGTACAAAATCTTGTTGTCTATGAGTCTCAAAGGGTTAATACTGAAGAATTATGCAGGCATCATCCACCATGATGATGTCATGTGAACTCATGTGTAGATAGCTTAAGATCTCGACTGAGTAATACCGAATATCTGGTCTTCCTCAAACTTTCTGTAAAAATGTCTATCATAATAATGTAACCTCTAACTAATTGTTCAACATGCAATAACCTAAACAAAAAAACACAAAGAACTGTGGATAATAAAAGTCAGAAACAAAAACAGAAATTTCTGGAGAAACTCAGTGGAGAGAATACAGAGTTTTTCTTTATTCATTCATGGAATGTGAGCATCACTGGCTCGGCCTGCATTTATTGTCCATTCCAAATTGCCCAGAGGGCAGTTAAGAGTCAACCACATTGCTGGTGTTGCGTATAGGTCAGACCGGGTAAGGACAGTAGATTTCCTTTTCTAAAGGACATTAGTGAACCAGACAGGTTTTTCCTGATAGATTTAATTACCATCCTTCGAAGCTGATCTCCAGATGAGGAAACAGGCGAGGAGTAAATGATAGATGGAGATAGATTCCAGAGAGAGAGAACAGTTACAAAGACAAAAAGAATGGGTAAAGGTCAGACTGAGAGAATCAACAGCTGCTAATAGGGACCATTAGTAGTCGACAATGGGTTGGCTGTGAATGCAGCCCATGTGATGACAAGGCCTGGTGTGTTGAGGTTGGGGTAAGGAAATGGGAGAATGCGTTCAGGCCTTAAAATTAATGAACTCGACATTGTGTCCTGAAGGCTGCAGAGTCCCCAAACAGAAAATGAGACACTGTTCTTCCAGCTTGCACTGAACTTTGCTGGAGTAATGTAGAAAACCGGAGACAGATACGTTGGCCAGGGAGCACAGTGGTGTATTGAAGTGGCAGGCAACAGGTAGCTCAGGATCATTTTTGTGGACAGGACATGGGTGTTCTGCAAAGCAGTCTCCCAGTCTACATTACATCTCCCCACTGTATAGTGTCCATATTGTGAGCAGCGAATACAATAGACTAGTTTGAGTGAAATGCAGGTAAATTGCTGCTTCACCCAGAAGGTGTGTCTGGGGCCTTGGATAATGAGGAGGGAGGACATAAACAGGCAGGTACTACACTTTCTACGATTACATTGGAAGGTGCCATCAGGCTGTGGGGTTGGGAGTTGGTTGCGGAGTGTTGAGAGTGAAGGAGGAGTGGACCAATGTGCCCTAGAGAGAACGGTCCCTGCGGAAGTCTGACAAGGGAGGGGAGAGGAATATGTGTCTGGTGATGGCATCTCACTGGAGTTAGTGGAAATGGTGCCTAATGATCATTTGGATGTGGATGCTGGTGGGTTGGTAACTAAGGACCGAGGGACCCTATCACTGTTCTGGGAGGGAAGAGAAGGGCAAGGGCCAGAGTGCAGGTGCTGGGTCGGACACGGCTGACTGCACTGCCGACCACGTTGGTGGCGAATCTTTGGTTGAGGAAAAAAAGGTGGACATTTCGGAAGCCCCCTTTTCAAAGTTGGCATCATTGGAACAGATTTGATGGAGACAGACAGAATAAAGGAATGGAATACAGTCTTTATAGGAAACAGGGTGTGAGGATGTATAGTCAAGGTAACTATGGGAGTCAGAGGGTTTGTAGCAGATATCTGTGGGCAGCCCAATATCCAGAAATGGAAACAGCAGCCTTCTTCTTTAACAGCAGCTCATTTAGTATAGTGCCCACAGAATAGGTCTTGCCTCTTCCTTGATGGAGCTGTTAATCTTAAAATTACCTTGGTTGCGAAAATTGCAAACAAATAAAAAGTACTCCTCATTTAGTGCACAACAGGACAAGTTTTGGTACAAATTATTGACAACATCTTCACTCTAGGATTAGTTGTTTTTGTACATTTTGGTGTGTGATGAATGAGTCAGACTTCCTGAATTAAGGTTTTAATGTTTATAAGTCAAAAAAATGGAAGGCAATGAAGCAAACATAAAAGCTTAGAGATAGAAAAACAGACAGAAAACAAATTTCAGAAATTAAGTGTATAGTAAAATGGCAATGTACTGGTGTGATTTAGAAGCACTGAGATAATGTAGGACTGAGCGTTGTCTTCTGCTGAAAATTTATTGTTGTGCTGTTTGCTCTATATTAATCAAGATTTTTCTATTCCAATTCCTCTAACTATAGATTGAAATGTTATATCATTACAAATACAACAAGTACTTTTGCATTTCAGAGAAGATACTGTTGTACAGATAATGTATTATGTGACAAAATTTGCATGGAAAACAGATGGGGTTAGGTGACATAAAATTTTGCTTTTGAGTCGGTTCCTTAATTTAATGTATCTTAAAACTGGTAACAAGTACTGTATCACTCTGTGGGCTGAATGTTACAGTGTTGCAAAAATTATTTGACAAAGATTTCAACATATGCTCATACAAATATATGTTTATTTACTGATTTTGCATTGAAATTTGCATCCCAATGTTCACAGAAGAGAATAAAGGAACAGTTTATGTTTTTCTATTCAGATTTAATGCTCTCTCTAGTAAATACATAGAATGTATTGTCTGAGTACAGATTGCCATTTTATGTACCTTGTTAATGTGCTATTAAGCTAAAGAATAATTATGTTTTCAATCAATCTACATGTTTTTCTATAATATATTGACAGATGATTTTTGTGCTTTATAAGTAAGACTGTCAGTAAGGCAATGTAAAGATTGTATAAAGGTTGTCCATGTATTTGAATATATGTTTTTTTCCAGTTTTTGCTTTCAGTGGTATATTTCGGAATAAGGAATAAAGACCTATGTCATCTATATTGATTCTTCTTCACCACTCTCATTGTTTCATTGTCAGATTGCAGTTGAACACAACTGATTAGCAAGTAATTACTAGTGGACATAAGAATTCAGTCTGCTTCAGAATTCAGCTTGGGAACCAAGACTTTGTTCATTTAACTGTTTTTTCACTATCATGTTTAAGGAAAGGCCAAATGTAACGTATGTAGTTTATTAAAGGTACAGAAGGGAGAAAAAGTGCAGTTATCTACATTTTTAACTTGCACTTCTCTAAAGGGTCTGAACAAGTGAAGACAATTTTCTTTTCAATCCATTTATGAGACGTGAGTATCGCTGACTAAGCCAGCATTTATTGTCCATCCCTAATTGCTCAGACGACAATTAAGAGCTAATTACATTGCTGTGGGTCTGGAATCACATCTAGGCCAGACCAGGTCAGGAGTATAGACTTCCTTCTTAATGAGGCATTAATGAATCAGAGATAACAAGGTGTAGAGCTGAATGAACACAGCAGGCCAAGCAGCATCAGCGGAGCAGGAAAGCTGACGTTTCAGGTCTGGACCCTTCTTCAGAAATGGGGGAGGGGAAGGGGATTCTGAAATAAATAGGGAGAAAGGGGGGGGCGGATAGAAGATGGATAAAGGAGAAGATAGGTGGACAGGAGACAGACAGGTCAAAGAGGTGGGGATGGAGCCAGTAAAGGTGAGTAATAAATTAATGAACCAGGTTTTCTTTTTATTCTGATAATCAACAACGTCTTCGCGGTCATCATTAGACTCTGAATTCCAGATTTTTATTAAAGTGAAATTCCACCATCAACTATACCAGGATTCAAACCTGGATCCCCAGAACATTAGCTCGGTCCCTGGATTAATAGTCTAACGATAAAACCACTCAGCCATTGCTTCCCCTAATTAGTAATTGGTTCCTCTCTTAACCTTCTCAGTTGCTTGCAACAGTTTCATTTTATTTCTTTTTTAGCTCATGGCTATTACACTTCAATTAAAATTCGTTCACCAGATCAGAAACTAAGGGAAAGCTAAGTCCAATGTTTACTTGCTTAAAAGAGAGTTTTCTTAACCTTTAAAACCTGAGAAAAATACAAAAACACACCATCAAAACCAGACACGGGTAATAAATCTTATAAAGTAGGGAGAGGGGTGTCCATTCTTATAGGATCATAAAAGCAGTTTCAGGATACTGCTTTTTTAGAATCATTGAGTTGCAAGAGTGAATACTATTTCTGAATGTTTCAACTTGTTTCCTAAGGAATGGTGAAACTTTGAGATAATCTTGATTTCTTGCTGAATTGTTGTTTCCTAGATTGCTTTCTCATGAGCGCTGTTTTCTGATGTTGAGAGAGATCAGCAGAAAAGAGCTTTCAGTCAACATTGCTTTCCCTTTTCTTAGATGCTCAAATGCTGTTGTTGCTATGCCATTCCTTGGAGGATTCTAATGTCTTGTCATTGTTTCACTGCAAGCAACTTTTCATTACTTAATATCTGAATTTATCGTGCAAGTGTGAATAAAGCAAAAGATGCAAATTTCTTGTTGCCTCACTGAATTTCAGTGGCTCTTGATTGCAATGGCAATTCTGATACAGCTGATTTCATACCTTTGACATGGATGCTTGGGATAGTCAGCTGATCACAGCAGTCATTTTAGGCCAGTAGCATCCTTTAATAAAAATATTTTTAGTCCAAGGAAAATCTCAGTTATTAAATCAAATGCTGGAACTTGAATATCGATAGTCCATTTTCACTGCAACCCATAACAGAAGTCAAACAATGTTGCCTGAATTTGTTGGATCTCAATTATCATAGCCATTTTATTAATTCTTCAAAGACTATAATCAATAATTACTTTATTTTGCAGGGAGCACAATGTGGTGATGGTTTTAAAGTGCGTAACCTCTCTTGTATCGTTTATGATGGAAGACTCCAAGGTTCAGCAAAGGTGGTGGACAACGAAATGTGTGGTAACAGGCCAGTTGGAATATCTGATGTTGTGTGGGGCTTAAAGGTTCCTTGTTCAGTGCCTTGTCCAGGTAAAGTGTCATATGACTATCTTACATGAATATGAATCGTTCATTCTTTGGCATGTTTCTGAAAATTATATTGACTATTTATTGGCTTGAGGCATGAAAATCATCACAAATTAAATTAAGAGTCCTTTGAGATATTATTACAATGCTTTTATTTCTGTTTATGACAAGTTTGATGTTTTGCAAAGGGTAAGGTCATTTCATGATATTAATATTAATGCTTGCAATTTATTAACTAATTGATTCTAATTCACTTCAGTGTTATCATGTAATTATACATTGGTTAGCTGCTGTGATCACTGATATTTCTCTTTAATATTATGTACTGTTTCAAATATTACTTAGTAGGAGAATAACTTGCACTTATATCTTTAAAGTATATCAACATCCTGAGATGTATTCAGACTACAAGCCTGAGAGATGCCAAATGAATGTCACTGACATTGTGTTAATAATCTGTAATTCTGCATAATACGAAAGCCAACTTTTTAGATTCATTCATAGATTGTGGGAACGACTGCTAGGCCATTACATTTTACCCCAATCCTAATTGCCCTGCAGAAGATGATACCTATTCACCTTTTTGACTAATACATTACTTGGGGTGTCAGAACATGCAGAGAGCTGTAAATGACATGGTCCCACGTCAGGCTGGTGTGTTGTTGGAGGGGAAATTGCAGATGGCATTCCCATGTATCTGCTTTCTTTGTTCTTCTGGATGGTAGCGGTTATGGATTTGGTGAAAAGAGTGTTGCTAAGTTACTGTAGTATATCTTACAGATAATACACACTGTTGCTATTGTGCATCAATGGTTATGGAATTGAACAAAGTGGGCTGCTTTGTCCTGGATAGTTTCAAATTTCTTGAGTCTTGTTGGAGCTGCACTTGCCAGTCAAGTAGAGAGTATTCCAACACGTTCCTAACTTGTGACATGTAAATGGTGGATAGGCTTTGGGGAGTCAGGAGGTGAGTTACTAGCTATAAAATTACTAGCCTCTGACTTGCTGTTATGGCCATTGTAATTATATGTAATTGTATGGCTGATCCAGTTCAACTTCTGTCAGCGTAATCCTAAAATGCTGAAAGTCAAGGATTCATTCATAGTAATGGTAGTGAATGTCAAGGGAAAAAGACTACACTGTCTTGTTGAAGATGGCCATTTCCTGGCATTTGTGTGACATGCATGATAGTAACCATTCATCTCGCAACACCTGAATATTGTCCAGGTTTTGCTGCATATAGACATGGGCTGCTTCAGCATCTGAGGACTTGCAAATGATGCTGGACATTGCACAATCAATAGTGAAACCCTTACTTCTGAGCTTATGATGGAGTGAAGATCATTGATAATGCTGCTGAAGATAGTTGGGCCTGGGACAATGTTAGTGAAATCACCTGGAAAGTTTTCAGTGTAGTTAAAACATAAGATTATAAAAACTAAAGCAAGAAGAAATGACTATGGTGCCAAAAATCTGATATAAACATTGTAGATACTGGCAAGACTCATCAGGGCAGTCAGCATCTGTGGAGGGAGAGATTTAATGCTTTCAAACAATGCTCTTCCATCAAAATTTATTAAAATCTACCAACTAATGATTTGAGGCAGTGTGTTTTGTTGATTTGATTTCTGTAAATGTACAGTTATAGCTGATATTTTCACCAATATATTCCTCTACCAGGTCCTCACTCAAACTTATCTGCTACAAAGAAAACAACCCAAGCTTACTCATTGCCTCTTCAGATCTGAAATGCTCCATTTCTCAAACAATATCCTGGGGAACCCCTTGTGTAACCACTCCAGTGCAATCACATCATTCCTATCGTGTGGTGCCCAGAACTTCACATAGTACTCTAGCTATGGCTTAACCAAGATTCTGTTCAGCTCCAACATGACCTCCCTGCTCTTATAATCTCTGCCACGACTGATAAAGGCAAGTGTCCTGTGTACCTTCTTAACACCGTTCCGTCTGTCACCTTCAAGGATCTGTGGACAGGCATCTCAAGATCCCTCTGTTCCTCTGAGCTTCCTAGTGTCTTGCCATTCATTGAGTACTCCCTTGTCTGGTTCCTTCTTCCAAAGCGTATCACATCACATTTATCAGATTTAAAATCTGTCTGCCACTGATCTGCCCATCTGACCAATCAGTTTATATCTTTCTGTAACCTAACACCTTCCTCCTCACATTCAGCTATCCAACCAATCTTTGTGTCATCTGCAAAGTAACTTATCATCCTCCCACATTCTTATCACAATATCACAAACAATAAGGGGCCCCAGCACTGATCTCGGTGGTATGCCACTGTACTGACATCCAATCACATTAACAACCTTCTACCACCACCCGCTGTCTCCCATTGCTAAGCCAATTTTGGATCCACCTTGCCAAGTTACCATGGATCCCATGAGCTTTTACCTTCTTTATCAGTTTACCATGAGAGACCTTGTCAAAAGCCTTGCTGAAATCCATATAAACTCCACCAACTGCCCTATCCTCATCTAAACACTTGGTCACCTCCTCAAAAAATTTCATCAGGTTTGTTAGGCATGACCTCCCTCTGACAAGGCCATACTGACTATACCTGATCAAACCTTACCTCTCTAAATGGAGATTCATTTTCGCCATCATTATTTTCTCCAATAATTCCTTATTGGTGTTAGACTCACTGGTCTATAGTTTGCTGATCTAACTCCACCATATTTCTTGTAAAGTGAAACCATATCAGCTGTTCTCCAGTCTCTGGCACCTCCCAGTGGCCAGAAATAATTTAAAAATTTGGTTACGGCCCCTGTAATTTCCTCCAACACCTCCCTTAACATATCCCTAGCATACAACTCATCCAGATCTAGGGATTTGTCCATTTTTTAAATCTGCTAAAACCTCCCATGCCTTCTTGCTTCTTATATCAATCTGCTTAAGAACTTCACAGACTACCTTGTCAAATTCTGTACTTCCATCCTCCTTCTCCTGAGTGAAGACAATGTGAAGTACTCATTTACACTGTGCTAACATCCTCTGGCTTCATGCACAGTTTGCATACTTTGTCCCTAATAAGCTCTACTCTTTCCCTGGTTATTTTCTTCCCCTTGACATACTTATAGACTATCATGGGATTCTTCTTAATCTCGCTCACCAATATTTTCTTATGACCCATTTTTGTTCTCCTAATTGCTTTCTTGAGCTCCCCCCTGCAGTTCCTATGTTCCTTTAGGACCTGCATTGTTTGCTCCCTTTTGTACCTGGTATATGTCTCACTTTTCTTTTTTATCCAGTTCTGAATATTCCTGGACATGCACGGTTCTCTGGGCTTCTTATTCCTCCATTTCATACTAAAAGAAACATAATGTGCCTACACTACCCCCAGGATCTTTCTGAACACCTCCCACTATTCTTCTGTAGATTTATCCTCAATTTGCTGTGCCCAGTCTACTTTGGCCAGATCTTGCCTTATTTTAATAAAATCTGCATTACCCCAGTCCAAAACCCTCTTTTACAAACCATCTCTCTTCTTTTCCATAAGAAATGTAAACCGTATTGCATTGTGATTGATATCACTAAAATGCTCCCCTATAGTCACCTCAAACACCTGTCTAACTTCATTCCCCAGAATTAAGCCCAGCACTGCACTGCTGCTTGTAGCACCATCTACATGTTGACATGAAAAGCTCTCCTGTATACATTTCAAGTAATATTTTCCCCCTAAATCCTTTAATTATGATTACCCAATTAATAGTGGGATGGTTGAAATCTCTATTATTATTATTATTTGTTCACGGCATAATGAATTGACTACATAACTGCTCCTCAATGGCCTGCTGACTGGGTTCTACAATATATTCCTAACAGTGTGGCTGTTCCCTTCTCATTCCTACATTCTACCCTCAAAGTCTCATTTGACGATCCTCCCAAGATACCCTTCCTCCTGACTGCAGTAATTGACTCCCTAACTAATAATGCAACCCCTTCCCCTGTCCTGTCTAAAGATCTTATACATTGGGATGTTATGTTGCCAATCTTGTCCCACTGTCAACCACGTCTCTGTGATGACAACACTACAGTTCCATGTGTCAATCCATGCTCTTAGCTCATCTGCCTTACCTCTAATACTGCAGCTGTTAAATTAGAGGCATCCAGCCTCAAATGGATGAACTTGCTTTGCCTTAGTTATGTTTCAAATTTATCCTGTGCTACTATTGAAATGAGGCTTTCTTTTCACCCAGACGGTGGTAGGAATCTGGAACTCACTGCCTGTAAATGTGATAGATACAAAACCCTCATAACATTTAACAAGAATTTAGATATGCACTTGTCCAAATACTATGGGTGAAATGCTGGAAAATAGGGTGAGAATAGTTAAATGCTTGCTTTCGACCAGTGTAGATTCAATGGGTTGAATGCTGTTCTTCTGTGCTGTAAGCCTCTATGGCTATATTTGTATGAACTTTGTAATGAATCATCAGTATGTTATAAGGGTGAGTGACAGTTAATGAAACTAACATTAGAAGCACAGGTTAACATTTGTCAAATATACAGAACCTATTTGCACAGAAAGTCCCTTTTTAGCAGCTGTGCCACCAACTGTAAACGGAATTTTTAGAAGAATACTTAGGTCAGTAAGAGGTCCTTCAAGGCAGGTTCAAAAGGTTAACTGTGACAGTTTATGACTTGGAAAGTACCACTTAATCGTGGTCCTTGTCAGTGAAAAACACTTATACTTTCACACTTGGAAGCCACAATTTCCATAATTCACAGTAGATTACTCTTTTTTCCAGAATGTATTCTGTTTTGGTTTGTGTTTCTTTACAGAGGAAATGAAACCGAATAACAGTTTAATAAAAGGCCAAAATTTCTGAAGAAGGGTCCAGACCCGAAACATCAGCTTTCCTGCTCCTATGATGCTGCTTGGCCTGCTCTGTTCATCCAGCTCTACACCTTGTTATCTCAAAATCTTAGATGTTGTTATTGCAGTTTTACATGATTTAATCTGTTGAGGTTTTCGTCCT